TGCCATCTACAGTTGCCATGGCTTTCTGAAGAATTAATGGTGCAGGCTCACAGAAGACTGAAACAAGATGCTAGCACATGAAAAAGGAGCACATGAAAAAGGAGAACACAAGTGGCAGCAGTCAGGGTGGTGGAGAGAAGCTGGTCACCAGCATGTAAAATCATGCTCTGTAGGCTAATCCCCAGCCAGCTTTACCACCATGTAGTTTCCCAAACCTCAACAGAGACATAGTCGATTATGACCTACAAGAATCTCAGTCTTGAATAAAAAGCATTGCTGGGATTTGGCTGATGGGAGGGAAATAAGACATAGGAAAGAAGAATATCAAAGCAGAGCAGCAGAGGACCATTGTCACCACTGCAGCTTTTTTGTTTCAGATAATCACTCTAGGTAAGCACTGCATGCTAAAGAAGGAACACCTTCTTCAGACTCTATATTCTAAAATTAGAACTTTTGGAGACAAGTACAATAAAAGCCCATGCATTCAGAATTGAAAGGAATGCCTGTGTTCAAGGTTTGGAATAATTAACTTTCTTTTTTTTTAAAAAATAATTTCTTCTTTTATACTATAATCTTAAAATTGGATGTAATAGTATTTGGCAAGTTCATGTGGCATGACAGAAAAAAACAGTAAATGCATTTCTGTCATATTTCAGCCAAAACATTTCCGAGAGAACCGAGAAATAAAGAAGTATTTAATATAATTGTATTTTTTAACGTATAGTTTCATCCGGGTTACCAGTATAATCTTGTTCTAGTGGGTTCAAATTTTAAACCAGAATTTTTACAGAGAAAGGCACCTAGGATGAGAAAGAGATTAAAGAGCTTGTTTTACTAGAGAAGATGAAGTCTCACCTGAAACACAAAGATCAGTAGTGACAAGGGGACAAGAAAGGAAGCACACTGCAGTAGGTGGGGGAAAAAAGCGAAGGATAAAATATTAAGGGATAAATAAGAGTTGACCAAAAGAATAATAAGTTAAAGGAACTGGCATGAAAAGGTACTTAGAAGGAAATGAGAAGACTGGCAACCCTCAGCACTTCCATAGAAAGCTTGGGAAGGCTGAAGGAACAGGAAGCAGCAAACGGCATTTGGACAGTGACACAGCAAAATCTGCTCACTGCCCCCAGCACTGAACTGGGGCTGCCCACACGCCTCCTGCTTCAGCTGGGATGGTCCTCATAAATAAAAGATTGCTAAAAAAATCACTTTGGGGCTGCTTAAGCTACTTGACACAAAAAGCAGTAAGGACTTTCTGAATTGCCTCAAGTAATACTCAGTGCTTCTGAGCTATTTTTATCAGACTTTCGTGTTTAAAGGAACGCTGTTGCATTAGATAACAGAGGAAGTTATCAAGGAGGTTGTTAAAGGTCTGTAAGGTTATGCCCCACAGCCTATGTAAATAAACAATTTTCTGTGGAGAGACTTCTACAGAAACCACTGAAGACAAGAATTTAGTGTAATCCAGAGAAATGTATCAAGCTCCAATTTAAAAGTTAAATTTTCTGCTCAAGCTACTTTAGCCGCGAGTCTGTTCCAAACATCACTGCTGATTTTCAGCATGTAATTACTCATAGCACACTTTAAAAAAGTTATTCTTGTAACAACATTGTGGTTGAGATTAAGCCACTCCATTCCTTCTGCAGTTTTTCTTTCTCATGTTAAAATGGTGCACTCAGCTCCTCTCTCTTCCCTCTACTTACTTGGCCACAGAAGCAGCACTGCTGTCATGTCCTCCTACAAGACAGGACCTTGGCCATACCTGCAGCCCTCCCTATGTCCACTTCTGCTCCAAACAGCCTCTTCCAGCCAGATGCCCAACTCAGTCTTTTTCCTTTCTTCAAAACCTTCACTGATTAGATGCTATGGTTAATAATCTCTTAGGTATTTGCTCAAGTTACAAGTAATAGATGAACGAAAGAGCTCAGAATAAAACGGTTATAAAACCATGATGGAAGACAAGTATTTTTAACTAGTATTATTTACAGCCATTCTATCGGCTAACATTACAGCAACCAAACAGAGAGACAAAAAAACCCACAATACTCCAGTGAGGTTTTACACCATGATAATTAAAAAGCTGGATACTGCTAGGCAGAGTTTAAAAAGGTACTTTTCAACATGGTACTGCAAGCAGTTGCACAGAACAGTGATCCCTGGCAACAAGCTCCTACTTATCACAATTTACCTGTCCATTTGCTTCAAACAATTTATGAATTTGACAAAGGTAGAATCATACTACAGATTGGCACAGTACAGAATGGTTAAGCATAACATAAATGAGCTCATACTTCTGATGAAAGCAAGAGTTTACTTTACAGTTACATCCAAAACCAGTAAGACACCATGAATGCGTAGCTGTCTCCCTCTCTACTGCACTCTCACAAGACAACACCTGGAGTATTGTGTCCAGTTCTGGAGCCCTCAAAACAAGAAAGACATGGAGCTCTTGGAGCAAGTCCAGAGGAGGGCCATGAAGACTATTTGAGGGCTGGAGCACCTCCGCTATGAAGACAGGCTGAGACAGTTGGGGTTGTTTGGCCTGGAGAAGACAAAACACCAGGGAGACCTTACAGTAGCCTCCCAGTGTCTGGAGGGGTCTTCAGGAAAGCTGGAGAGGGACTTTTTACAAGACTATTTAGTGACAGGACACAGGGTAATGGTTTAAGCTGGAAGAGGGTAGATTTAGGTTAGACATTAGGAAGAAACACTTTAGTGTGAAGGTGATGAGACACTGGAACAGGTTGTCCAGGGAACTTGTGGATGCCCTCCTCCCTGGAAGTGTTCAAGGCCAGGTTGGACAGGGCCCTGAGCAACTTGGTCTAGTGGGAGGTGTCCTTGCCCATGCAGAGGGGTTGGAACTAGATGACCTTTAACGTTCCTGCCAACCCAAACCATTCTGTGATTCTGTGAAAATATGGTGACTGTGGATCTGGAACACTGGGCTTGCTAAGATTTTTCCTACAGTAGGAAAAGGAGAAAAAATTAAGTAATGTGGGAATGATTTGTTAAGAAGCTTTTATTTCACTAGTGAACAGAAATTATGACATCGAACAGAGAGAAGCCTACAACTAGAAAATAGCTTGCAAAAGCCTTGGACCTAACTTTTGAATGTGAACAAAGTGGCAGAAATTTGAGCAAGATGTTTGACAGGGAGAGGAGAGGGGACAGTGTTGCAAGAACTAAATAATTCAGAAGGAGAACAACATATTTGCTGCCTCCCAGCTTGAACAGAAGTGAACTCATCACATGTACTCTCTGAAGGAATGTCCTCTGTGATTGCTGTTCCTGGTGCAAAACTCCCACTAGCTTCAGTGGGAACCACGTGAAGCTAGGGAAGAAAACCCTGACTTGACTGAAACCAATGGAAATTTTGATAAAGCTTTCAAAGAAGGATAAGACTACATTAGGCAATCATACTTCAAACACTCCAAGGTTTACCCTCAGTGCTAAATTTTATTAATGTATTACAAGGAAAATACACCCACATAGTCAACTGGAAAATTCAATTAATCTCCAATAATTTTACTGGAAATATGCTTATTCACACCAGTCAAAACTTTGCTCCTTTTACTTGCTGATGTTACTCAACTTGAAAAGAACTAATTCTACAGATAGAGTGTATTTCTTCTTACATAAATTAATTGCTATCTTTAATTGTGTAGTATTAATTAGCTGCATAATAAAGCAGGTTGTAGCAGCAGAATTGCAACCTTCACTATATGGGAGTGGAAGGGAGGGAAGGGAGAAGAGAAATAATAACAACAAGGGTGAGATGAAACCAAGGAATAAGTATTTCCTATTCAAAATATCCCAAAGAACTATCAGAGAAATAATAATTTGCATGACACCTCACCTTTTAAAGTGTATAGATGTTTCAAAAAGAAAAAATAAAGAAACCCTACTATGTGAGAGCTGACAGATATTCTAAACAGTCATATCAGCCTCTTTACACTTAACAAACTAGATTCTAAAGCAAGAAAAGGGACCTCTGTAGAAGCCACACAGTGATCATCAGTGAAGGCCATTCTAAGCTTTTTCCTAAACCCTGTTGCTTTGGTGAGGGGGAATCAATCTGTTCTTCAGTAAAGGTTAAATTGAATCCAAACACTTGCCCTCAGGAGAGCTGAACTGGGTAAGCTAGCTGAAGGATAATGGGTGAGAATAGTAGAGATGGTCAGGCAAAAATAAATGTGTCAAGGAGGATGGTTTAAGTATTTGCAAAGGAGGTGATTTTGGATGGACAAGGGAGGACAAGCTCTTCTCACTTTTCAACGGTTTACTACTTTTGCTGGCTGTCAGAAGTGATTCTTAGTTCAGGTTTCCCTGCTAGAGGATTACTGCAGGCATTTCCTCCACACTGTTTGGAAGGTCTGTCTCTGGATAAAAAGTATTTCCAAGAGCCAGCCTGAATAAACCTTGACTTCAGAGTAATGACGACATCCAGTGGCCACCAAGTTAAACTCAGCCTACAGTAGCAAGATAACCTCTTATATCAGAACAGATGAAGGTATATATTTACTCTTCCACCTCCTAGTCTAAAATCAGGAGTGCATTACAAGGAACAGTACAGTCATTAAGCAAGAGTCTTTCTATCCAAGTCCTCATACAAACTCTAACCAAGCCTTTTTCAGTTCCATCTCACATTGCAAAATTGTAAATGAAAACCACAAAAACTCTTAAACACTTCCATGGTACTCAAAGAAACTGGAAACCAGCAAAAGCAGATTTACATCAAGAAAGGGGAGTGGGCTGCAAAAACCTGGCTATGCACACAAAAGCCTCTGAAGCTATTGAAACTGCTTGCCACATCTACCAAACCCAGTCACATGTACATGCTTTTAAAAGACATGGAAGAAACCATTTTTCAAAGTGCTTCAAAACAGCAACAACAAGTGTTAATATTTTCCACTTTTAGAAGGAAGTCAGTCAAAATATGAAAATATAACAATTTAAGCAAGCTTGTGTTATTTCGCAGAAAACACCTGTTAAATACTTACTTGCCCAAATATTTCTGGCAGCCCCAAAACTTGACCAGTGAAAACACCAATACAGATGCAAATTGCTGTGACCTGACCCAACGAACCACGGATTTCCTTAGGAGATATTTCATTCAAATACATGGGAAGGGCACTCAGAGAAATGCCTGTGAATGAAGAAAAAAAGGACATTAAGTCAAATTGCTTTTTCATTATGTCAGGTATGAAACAAACTCTATTTGAAAGGAGTTTGAGTGCTAGTATGCTCACAAGACTGACATAAAAACAGGCAAAGAACAGAATTATATCTAACCACAAATAATATAAATTATCTTCTCTACATATCTAATTACTCTTGCACCATTTCATAACCTTGGGATTGATTATCAATTAAAGATCTATAGCGATGTGTGTAGGCTGCTATTTGATGAGAAGCACCAAAGGTTATTCAGAGATGAGAATCACCAGGAGAACAGATCTTGCATTTCAAATTTGCTCATCCCAAAGCAAGAAAAGTCACATTAGCACTGGTGCAGGTAAGGAAAAAAACCCCACCCAGCGGGTTAAGCAAAGAAAGCAGACACTGTCCAATTAAATATTTTTACTGTAAACAGTGTTAACAGATGTTCCTCTAAATGCAGCTGCAGTGAATTCTTAACAAAAGGTATAAATTGAAGGCAAGAATGCTGCTCAAAACCAGGAGAAAACACAAATGCATGGCCCTGGTTAGTACAATTAAAGCATTGACACAGCTCCTGAAGTCTGGTAGTTTGGTGATAATCTGAGACAGAAATTAGCAGTCACCACCAAAATTACCCTTGAACTTCACATTGCAAGTGACAGTCACATCAACTTTCAAACAACCATAGTTTGTGCTTACTAAAAACATCACCAAAGCTTGTCAGAAGGGAGATTGGTGATGCAAAAGTCAAAGCACTTTCCATTGTTAGAGTCACATAATTACTGAGAGTGTAAAACCATCTTCATTCATCAAGTCTGCCTCCACATTAGGTAAATATCTCTCACCATCTAGCAATCCATGGATTTGCCAAGAACCTCACTGCAGGCTACTAAACTATTCTGGTGCAGCAGTGCCTCCATCATTCATTTTTAATGCCATTTACATTAATGCCATTGCCAGGAGCAAACGATGATGTAAAAACACTTCCATTTAACCCTACTGGTATTACCATGGGATACAACAACTTTGAAACACAGAGCAGCAAGCAGCTTTAATAAATAGGTTACATTCTTCCAGCCAATGGATTTTCATGGCATGGAGGCAGATATGCTCTACAGGAGCTGGAGGAGCTAATGGGGAGGAATTATGAGGGGAGACAGCAGCAGTGAGCATCCATTCCAGTGTCTTCTCCAAACATCAGAATAGCCTGCTGTTTTGTCTCACTGAAAGCAGCTTGGCTAGTCCCTGAGATGCCTCTTTAATGTAAAGAAAGATCTAACTGGGGGAGAGCAGAATGATTGGAGAACAGAATGATTATGCATGGCACAAGCATTTAAGTTACATGCAGCATGATAAAAGCTCACCTGCATCAACACCCATTACAATGCGGCCCAGTATCAGCATTTCAAATGACCCCGCCAACAAGGAGAGGGACATCAGCAATGCAGCTGCCACGGCAAACACATTGTTGAGCAGCAATGTACATTTCCTAAAAGGAAAAGATGTTTTATGCAGATACAAGCATCGCAGCAGTTAAATCTAGTCATATACAAAGCACACTAGACTATTATTCTTAAATATCCATAAATAAGAACAAGAAGTGCCTAACACACACAGCCTCTTAGGTGTTACACAGAGTTCCAAAATACAGTACTATACCCAAATGAATAGAATTTCAAACTCATCCCACAGGTTTAAAATAAAACATATCATAGCTATCTCAAGAGCTGTATTTCAAACACACAGCAATCAGCCATCCTACACATCCCCAGAATCCAAGTGCCATGGCTGAGACTCTGTATGTGAATTTAAACAAGCATGCTCTGGGTAAATGTATGTATGTAGGAACCAGAAATAGCAATGAGCTGACATTACAACAGACATATTTCTGTTACATACAGGTTTTGCCTTTTTGAGAACTTCCCAACACTGAAATGTCATTAAAAATTACTTACTGTTTGTAGAATTAGGAAAAACACTTGGGCTCACACGAGTGATAAAAATCAACACTTTTCCAAAACTTGTTGAAATTAACAAAAATATCAAAGGACAATTTTTTTTTTTAAATTTTTTTTTCTAAAATGATTTAGATCTGTAGCAGTCAAATGACATAAAAAAAAGCCATTTGTTTCAAAGAAATGAATATTTTTATGGAAAATTATTACTTTGCTTAAAAAACAGAACCAAAATCACCAAAATTATTTAAAAAATTTCAAAACATCTCCATTTCTCATTGCACTATGCCAACAGCAACTGCATTTCTTAGTTTTCAATTTCAGAACTTTCTGCTCATATTTGAGATTCACAAAAGTGTCTTCTGATTCTCTTAACTTCTGCAAAAAGAAATACTTTCAAAAGGAATGATATGTAGGATTTCATGGGCCTTTGATAATCAGTTTCAAACACTGACATCCAAGGTCTCATTTCCTGAACACATGGAAGAAGAATGGTTAAAGATGTAAGATCAATAGCTCTGCTGCAATGATTCCCTGCTGAAAGATGAAGCAGAAAACCCAGACTCAGAGAATCACTGCTACCTTATGTACATCTCTCCACAAATATGGGTTTAAGTGGCTTTTTGCTAGATTACAGCCTGCAAGTGCATGGCTGGAGAAGCCATCATCATCAGGTTCAGCCTTGCAAGTGACTGAAGAGTTCCTTACAATTCCCAGGGATACCTACTGGAGACGTGATGGCCTCTCTACAACATAACACAATGAGATAGCTGCTTTGCACTGTTTCTGATTGAATGCAAGAAAAAATACCATGATTTTCACAACTATGTGGTGAGAGAATGCTTGCACTCTGTTTTCTCCACCCGTGAGTCACCTCACTTAGCTTATACACAGGAAAAGTAACGGAGCTCTATCTTCACCAGGTTTTGCAGTAACACAATTAGGCACAGTCTTGTTTTGGCTCTCACTGAAGGGACTGAGTGTGACCTGCTGTAGCACCAAGGGGGAGGAAAGGAAGCTGGATTGATGTTTAGCCTGGGAAAGTGGGAGGAAAGGTGCCCTAATGTTTGCCTTGTTTCCCAATAGTTGGTTGTTTTTTAAATATTTATGCTAACTGGCAATAAATTAGATTCCTTAAGTTAAGTCTGTTTTGCCCACAACAGTAATGTGTGTTTTCCCTTTCTTTAGTTTGATCCATGAGTTTTCTCTCTCCTGTTCCTCATCTTTCTCCCCAGTCCTCCCATCTCCCTTGGGAAGTGGGGAGTTACAAGCTGCCAGGGCCAACCCACCACAAACAGACACAGCAGGAATAG